TAGTTATTATAACCTGTAGAAATAAATAGTTCAGCATTTAATATTTCTGTCCACTAAAATTTCTGATACTTATCTAAAACTTTCTTGTTATAGTCTCCTTGGGTATTTACAAAAGGGTACCAACATTTCCTTACTCCTAAAAATAATTTTGACTTGTGTTATCTAATGTTAGCCTGCTTGTCCGTTCCTTACAGAATGCTAATGCTTAAACAACCACTGTGCCCAAACTTACTAGCTGTGAATTTACAGTCACATTTAGCAATAAGTTATAGCACCCCACATATCAGTTATTGCCTATTCTAAGTCCTTCTTTGGCTAAATAATCTTGTCCAAAGCAGACTCTTCAAAGTACCATGTGGCAGATACATTTTGGATTGGCAATACCAGAACCCTTTGTAGGTTTCAGTTTGTTACAGTTGGAATTCTGAGGCCTTGCCGTGTTGCCATGCTCAGTAAGTCTTTATTAAATTGAGATGAGGTGGTTTTGTTTTCAGAAAGTTTTAGACAATTTAAAAATAAGCAAATCTGGACCAGAGTTAATTGACTATAAAGTTGGCCTACCACTCATTGAGTGCCTACAATATGCCGAGCACTCCCAAGATAAGCTGTATCAAAGTAAATATAGCCTAGAACGAGAGGCAGCCTTTCTCCCAAAGCACGTTCAGCAGACCTGCTAGATCAGCTTCTACCAGATACTTGCACTGACACGATTTTTAGAAATGCATTTAAATATGTTTTATTCCATCAGCTTGATTGTGATAGTTTGTCATGAGAAAGGTAAAATAAATTAATTCCATAGCATAAATTTAGCAGTGATCAACCTGTTCTTTTCAGAATTATAGAAAAATGCAAGCTTCACTTAAGGGAAATTACTTAGTGATAATAAAAAGAAATGCCCCCCCAAATTCAGCCAAAAATCTGAACTGTCTCATTCAGTTTTAGCTTCAAATAAAGTTACTAATTTCTAGTTTTTCTAAACTACAGCTGATGTTTCTAAACTACAGCTTGAGTAACAAGTTCTGCTGTTCTTCTTTTCACCTCAGAGTTGAATACATTCTCCTCTCAGAAGAGTTGGGGGTGCAGGTAGATTAAGGGAATTTTTTGGAATCTCAGAACCACCTATTTGAAGAACCAGGAGGCTTAAAAACACCTCCCCTGAGTCAATAAGGCTGATGGGTTGAGGCCAGAATGCCATGGACTGATAGTCAATAATAGCTAGTATTTGTTGAGTGCCTGTTTGTGCTAGTCATCGGGTTAAGTGTTTTAGGTGCACCATATTCAGTCTCCACAATAGCTCTGACATGCTGGAGATACTGTTCCCATTTTACAGATGAGGCGGTGAGGCTTTGGTCCTGGAGACAGAGAAGCAGTTTTCCAGGCATCCAGGGAGACTCTGCCTGACCTGCCTGACTCATAGGTCAGTCCTGAAGGCCGCTTCTGTCTATTCTCAATCGAATAGAAAAAGGCAAAAAGCGGTATTTGTATTCAGTAGCTCCTGCTTTCTAGTTCTTATGTACTCAAAGGGAGCTGCCTTCATTTCTCATCTCACAGTCAGCTCTATGTGTGAAGCCTAACAAGCAGTGACTCTAGAAATACCTTATGAGATTTTCTCTTAGGAAAACCGAGTGGGGGAAGGGCTGTTGTCAAAGGAAAACATTTTAAGAGAGAAAAATGGAGGGAGTTCATTTACACTCGCAAGTTAGATAAGGGTGCAGGAATTTCAGAAAGAAAAATTAGAAATTAGGAAAGTTAAAATATTTCTATTGTTTTCCTTTTCTTTTCCTCACTGCACTTCATACTTGCCCCCAATGCTGAAATCGGAAATCATATTTAGCATGTGGCAAAAGATGAGACTTAAAATAATATTCATCAGTAATCCTAAGCCCTTAAATTCAGCCCTCCAAAATCAGATGAAGGTGTGCAGGCTGCTCAAGGAATGAGGTCAAGAAAGGAAGTGCTGAGGTGCTTCCCCGCAAAGGGAAAAGTGTATTGCTGTCGCAATTCAGATAACCTCAGGGAAAGCTTCTAATCCCAATGCTGAGGCCATGTGTGTGCATTTTCACATACGTTAGGGTATTTATTTTTCATAAGATCCTTTTGAGAAATACTTCCTGAGAGAAAATGGTAATATTTAAATAAACCCGCTTTAACAAATTGCTCCTGATTTTTGCAGTTGGGTTTGAAACGTTTATTTTTCTTTTGGTAAATAATAAGATTAAAGTGCATTATTCAAATTGAGTACAAAAGCAACTTTTTTCTTCTTCTAGCTAGAAATTTTCACAGCATTTACTCCTTATAGTAATGCTTTGTGGTATTTTTCTTCTAAAGGGGTCAGAGTCTAAGCCAATAATAGCTGCAGTTTCAAACTTATTACGAGAAATGTAAGGATTAGGATAATTTTATTTTTTCCTGCTTCTTAGGTATGGAACAGATTTGTAGATGGAGAGTCATTAAATAATGGAGTGATTTTTCCAAAAGTTATGTGGAGGTTGGTTTCTCATTCTTTCCTTCACCTCCTCTTCTTACCTCACTAAAAGGTCTAAGTGTAACCAAGTCCCAGTTCTGAAGTATAATTATATTTAATTTGGTTCAGTGCATTGAACTGACTGCATCTATTGCATTAATGTGCTGTTAACATGCAACATGTTGTTGCATTAATGTGCTGTTTAGGGCACATCATAGTGATATTTGTCCTCAGGGATTTGATTCCTTTATTTTAAATTGAAAGGGTTGCTATCCAGCTGAAACCATTAAATGATGAGTTTGAAGTTCTCTCTTGAATCTTTAACTCAACATATTGTTGACATCTTCTCGAATATGACAATATGAGGCCTCCAAAGTTACTTTTTTGTCCTCTGCTGGGAGACGTCAACTTGACATCTATTTCATGGTTTAAAACAAAGCCTTTGGCATAATTTTTGTGGTTTTTTTCTTTCTCATCTAAATCATGACTGCTTATGTAATTATTGGTTCTGTTCAGATGGTAGCTTCTGCTACATATGTCTGCTGTGACCTGGGTTTAGCCGATGGTGAAAGAATGTATAACGATGGCCATGCCTGGTCACTCTACGTCAGTATTCTCCTTCAAGAATTGTCCTTTCTCTGTGTTGTTATCTCTTTGAGTAAGGACAAATGATAGAAATAACAAACACAGGGGACTGGGCGCAGTGGCTCACGCCTGTAATCCCAGCACTTTGGGAGGCCGAGGTGGGCAGATCATGAGGTCAGGAGACTGAGGCCATCCTGGCTAATGCGGTGAAACCCTGTCTCTGCTAAAAATACAAAAAAATTAGCCGGGTGTGGTAGTGTGCTCTTACAGTCCCAGCTACTTGGGAGGCTGAGACAGGAGAATCGCTTAAACCTGGGAGGCAGAGGTTGCAGTGAGCCAAGATCACGCCACTGCACTGCAGCCTGGCAACAGAGCGAGATTCCATCTCAAAAAAAAAAAAAAAAAAGGAAAAAAATAAGAAACGCAGAAGGCTGTTTTTGTACAACTGTACAACTAGGAAACACACAAAGTACTTTTTTAAATCTTATTAAGACAAAAGTTTTGTCTCATTGTGAACCATATTTGTTTGTTTTCATTAAAAAGGTGATGTTTATGTGGTCTGAAAGTTGAAATCAAGACGTGGGAATCAAACCTTTTGAATTTAATATCTGGCTTACTATATAACTGTAGAGTAAAACGCCTTTCTTTATTGTCTTGTCTAGGAAATTGTGTACAGGATAAAACCTCTCCCTTTCTTAGAAGGTTCAGTAGTTTCATGGAAAGAGCCCAAATCCTCAGAGGAACAGATGCTATCTCTGCGAAAGACAAAATTACAATATTATTCACGGAATGCTGTGAATACTCATATTAAACAAAAAAGCAAATCATTATGTAATAATTCTATTTGCTGGACCAAAAAATTTCTAGTGTCTATAATAATAATGCTTTATTGCTTTCGTTTAAATCCAAAGATTGTGATTTTACGTTCTTTCTTTTTCAAATAGAAAGGTGTATTCCCTTTTGAAAAATACTGCTAGGAGCTTTCTTTACCTAGAGAAATGTATTTCAGTTGGCTTCTCTTAAGAATTACTCCCATTAAAAAGGAATCTGAGATAGAAAGGATAAATATAGTCTGATCTATGACGTTAGTACAAAAATATAGTGCTGTGTTTGTTATTTTTCATTGTACTTTTTAATGTCCCACAGACTCATTCAGTAAATTTGAGGCTTACTACAGACTTGGAATTATCCTTTGTTGTGTGTTAAACTAATTAGGTTGAATACTTTGTATGTATTTTTGTTCCACTCCACATAGAAATTGTAGAGTATTCATCTTGAATGAATTTTAAATTATTTAAACTTTGTAATGTTAGTGTATGACCCTCTGAGACTCTTTTTAAAGAACAGACAGCTCTTTTCCCTGTAGACATTATAGGGTTCATTTGCTTTGGATACAAATAGCATTTATCTTGTGTTTAAAAAAAAGGACATGCTTATGTTGTTTAGTATACGTTGATAGATTTCGCAATTATTTCTACTTTTCTTTAAACAAGCATATTTGGAAGTGGTGATAGCTCGAGATGAAATACCTTGTGCCTTTTAAATCTTGATGAATTAACACTAACTATCTTACCATGTAGTTTAAATGCCAAAGTGTCATCTTCCTGATGCGATTCCTAACGTCTATCCCAGGATAAATTTGTTTTCTTTTCAACCACACTGAAGTTTCAAATCCTTCTCTCTATTTTACCCAGCAACGATCTGCAACTTATTTTTCTCCAGGAAAATTGAATCTGTTACTGTTTAGTATTCCTACCAGTTTGAAAAATGTGGTTTATATTGGCATCAGAGCAGTAATTTACATATATTGGGATAACAAAAATGCATGCCAGAAAAAGATCAACATAAAATGAAATGCAGAAAAGCTGTTTTCCTTCCACAGCAACTCAAAGTAAAGTTAATAGAGAAATGGATGCGCATTTGCCCCGAATGTGTCACTTGTTTCTTGCAGGTGAAGTGTGACCAGTATTGGCCCAGTAGAGGCACTGAAACCCATGGACTGGTTCAAGTAACGCTGCTTGATACCGTGGAGCTGGCCACATATTGTGTTCGAACGTTTGCACTTTACAAGGTTTGCTTTTTATCTTTTTCTCCTCCCTTTCCCCTCTCTATTGTTTAAAGAAAGCTTCTTTTGAGAAATCAAATCTCTTAAGGCTTTACTTAAGTCTTGATCCCAACAGCAACAGTGAAGAATGAAACAAATCTTCCATTATCACTCAGCCATTTTTCTTCTTGTCTGGCGATTTATCAGTAAATATAAAACTCTTGCTCTGAATGAAAGTTTCAGCCAATGAAGAATAGATGAAGAAGAACTAGCTCTTCCTGTAAAATAAATGTGATGGGAGCTCTCCTGGTAGTTAAACCTAAAAAATGTAATGCTTCTCACCTTAGAATTTTGTCTTCCTGAGCAAATATTTGTCACTTACAAATAGCTTGGGATTTCTACCTCCAACGATTGTGTCTTCCCAAAGGATATAGGGTGGGAGAAAGGAATTAAGATAGCACATTTTAGCATTACTTCTTCCCTGTTATTCGTCATTACCACCTGAGGCTGGGAAAACAGAATTTCAGCTGATATTCCTTCTTCACAGAATGGTTCCAGTGAGAAGAGAGAAGTGAGACAATTCCAGTTCACCGCCTGGCCTGATCATGGTGTTCCAGAGCACCCCACACCTTTTCTAGCTTTCTTACGTCGAGTCAAAACCTGCAACCCTCCCGACGCTGGTCCGATGGTTGTGCACTGCAGGTAAGAAGCATGTGTTTCACTTGCAGTCAGGAGGTTTTTGAGGAAACAGAAAGCTAAATGGCTGTTTTTACAACTTGTTGACGTTCGGGGATAGAAACTGCCTTTATAAATAATATAGCTCTCTTTTGGTCAAATGAGGCCTATGCTAACATCAAGGGGTTGGATTTGACATAGGTGCTTATTTCCCCTGGACAGAGTAAACAGCTGTGGCCCATAGCTATTATCTTTTCCCAGTAAAAAGAAACACAGAATTAAGTGTGCACATGGCTATAAATATGTAAAACAAAAAATAATATGTGGCGGAATACTCTTAAAATCCAATTTATATTGTTAAGTTCTTGGGGCTGGACTGATACAACCTTTTTACCATTGATAGGGAAAAATACTGAACAAAAATAATTACTGAACAAAATAATAAAGCATTAGGGAGACTATCTTACTGCTTAAAGATGCCTTCTGTATATTAGTAATATCAAGTCTCATACAACAAATCATTAATTTGATTTTTAAAAATTCATTTACTAGATTATATACAAGATCTATAACTTGGAAGAAGTTATGTACTCTGATGTAATAAGCTTGCGTTTCTCTTGAAATGTATACTTTGTATTTTTTGCTTAAATCTGACTAACATCTACATCACCACTCAGACTGCAATATATAAATGTTTAAAGATTTTTAAAGATTAAACTGATTTCTTCCAGTTGCTTGAGTACCTATTAAGTAACATTTCTAACAGACTGCTCAAGCTATCTGATAAGAGTCTATTTATTACTATGTAAATCTATAGTACATATGACTTCATGATAGTTTTTTATAACCTGAGTAATCCTAATATGAAAAAATGTGCTTCTTGCACAGACAAGTAAAATACAAGTGTGGCAGTATAGGAAAAACACAAGAAAGCATCAGTCCAAAATCACTTCTCTCATGACTTAATACCATAACTTTCTTTCATACCCCATGTTATACTGTAATGTAATATAATAGACCCTAGAAAAGGGGTTAGTTTTTTAGAAGATGGGGTCAACGGATTGATCAGATTAAAAGCAATGAAATTTACCTAGCCAAATTATGCTACAGTGCTCATTATTAAACAATGGACTGGCAAATTCCAAACAGGATAAAGGTACTCTTTTCCAGCAAATGTTTTCCTCGATAAAAACCAGTAATAACATTCCCTTGTATTTATGTAGAGTGTGTCACTAATTTCCCTATGCTTTTGTTTGATGTTCATAACAACAGTATGTTGGGTTAAGAGAATTATGTTGGGTCAAGAGAAGTGAGAGGCTTCAAAGTTTGCTTCAAGTACTGATAACGAAGAAGATGGTGGCACAATAGTCCTCAAGTCTTATCTAGATGTTTGTTTCCCTGTATCCAAGACAGGATCCTTTGAGGACTGACCACGTAGTTGCAGCTTTCTGCATGATTGTAAAACACTAAAAAATATTTTTAATTTGAGCAAGTGATTTTACATCGAAAGAGATTTCTGTTTCTCCTGCCTTTTGGTTTTAATTCAGGTGCTGCTTTGATGAGTCTGTATGCTCTGTTACACACAGTTCTTTGCAGGCCTCAAAGAGCCAGTGCGCCTGATTATATGGTGCCTCTGCTTGGTAAGAGCTGAACTTGATTACAAAAAATCACACATGAAACACATGAAATGTTTTCAGACAGAGTTTGGCCAAAGGGTAGAGAAACAAAATTTGGGTTGGAAGAAGAAATGTCACCCTTATATGCCTGATGGCAAAAATATGGTACACACACACATGTCCCTGCACGCACACACATGTAAGTATATGTTTAAGATAATAGGAACAAAAATTAGAGACACATAATTTGGAAGTTCATTGAAAAACAGCATGATGATTTTTTTCAAATTGCTTTTCAAAATACAGAATCCGTCCTTTCTCAAAATGTTCTTCCCATTTCCGTAAAGTGGAGGCTTTAGAAAACGGAGATAGATCAATAGATCGATAAATCAATCAATAGCTCAATCACAGATCGATAGATCAATAAAGACCTAGTTTTTAAAATGCATTTCACCCTCTGTAGCAAGGTATAGGTTTCATGGTAGATACCATGAGGGATAAAAAGATGTTTGCAAGCTAATAGCAAGCATGAGAGATAAGATAAATGGCTGTAATGCCTCATTTTGAGAAAATATACACACTTGCGTGCATACACTCACATACACACACACACACACACACACACACACCCACATCCATGTTATGTTAAGCCACCTGGACTCACCTCTGAGAAAGACAGGCTACTCAGGAGAAATAAGGAAACAAAGATGAATGTGCTGAGCTAATAGCTTCTGACATTTGGAAGCGCCGTGCCTGAGGCTCTGGAGAAGCGCTTATTGAAACGAACAACGGAAGAGTAGGTATATTGGTGGAAGAAATTTGTTAGCAACTTCAAAACAATGAGGGAAAGAACTGCATAAACTGAGCTCTGTGAAGTAATTACCCATAGGTAATTTTATATGTCGGGTAAGAAATTTTGGCCTTTTTATTTAGGAGGGTCACGTCAACATTGTCAACATGCATATTATGAATCCTTGAGTTGAATACAAGTCAAGTTAAAACTTGACAGTATAATTTTTTGTGACAAAGCAGCAGATTAAAGTCATTCTAAATGACAGTTCCTAGTGTAGCATCCCAAAAATGCTAGTTTAGGAACCATTTCTAAGCAGAAAGAAACTATGCAAAAAGCCACAGTAGCCGTGTTACAAAGGGATCCTGATCACAGTTAACCGTGAAATCACAAAAAAGTCTGGAAATTAAATACTGTATTTTGTGTTGTGATTTCTTTTATTATGTACCAGACTTTTTTTTCTTTTTGTAATAAAGAGGTAGTGACAAAGTAGATCCAAGCCCTCTGCTCGACATGTCCTGTTAGAATGGAGGAGATTTTAAAGAAGTCGGGTAGTAGCCCAAAAATGGTGGGACTGGGGGTACCGTAAGAAAAAGGCAATTATGGTAGTATGAAAATAAGCCATTAAATAAAAGAAATTCTAACAATCAACCACAAGAAAGAATTTTAGGGATAGCCTAGTGCAACAAGAGCAGATAGGACCTCGGAAGGCCAAGGAGGACAGAGTCTACCACACTCCTAAAAGAAAGAAGGCCTGGTTCAACAGGCGAACAAGGAAAGGCCAACTCTAGTTATCCATCAGTTCATATAGCGTGTAGAATCTCAACGTTGAGAGTACGCACACTGGAGAGATAGACTGCTCAAGTCAAACATCAGCTTGTTTACTTACGGGTGCAGGCCTTTGGGCAGATTGTTTAACCTCTGTTTCTTCACTTGTAAAATGGGGTAACACTGTATATAGCAGTGAGGATTTTATAAAAATTAAGTGAAATGACATAAAATAGTTACTTATACAGCACTTGGGATGGTGCATAGCATATAGAAGCATGCAGTAATTTTAAATTATTACTATTCGTTACTGAGTACCTTTTAAAAGCTGTATGTATATTTAGAACTCTCAGAAGAAAAATTCAGCATGAACTTGGATATCATCTGTGTAACCTGAGCCATCCATTTTATTAAATAGCAGATGTTTATAAATATACAAATCATTAATTGAATGAATTTTTCAAATGCACATATTTTCCACTATGGTGATTCCATAAGACTTGTCTCAGTGAGAGAGAACATGTTGGTGCTGTATGTTAGAGAGTCACTTATAATAATACATCTGTTTGTATAAAGACCTGAGAAACCCTTGAACTCTTAAAATGATGCTATGAAAGGAACTTAATGCAGTGGTCTTTGATGCCTTCAAGATGAGGGCTTAACTGCTTATCATTACATTCATGGCCTTTTGTAATCTAGGCTGATCTCACCCTTCGCACCTCATTGTTGACTCCCTGGCCCATCTTCTGATAACTGCACATTCCAAGTATCTTCATCTCTGGCTCTCAGCAAAAGATATTTATCTGGTCTAGAATTTCAACAGTTCCCCTTCTCTACCTGATGATGTTCAACCTTGATACGTAATCCAATTTAAATAGCACTTCCTTTTTGTATTGCAAAGGTTGCAAACTGGCTTCGAATGGTTTTGTTGATATACATGATAATTTTTTGAAAACTCGACCATGAATTTCTGTAAGCTGGAGTGCGCTATCCAGTTTTCCAAACCCTTCCCACTCCCTATTATTTATGCACGGTTATGAAATTACTTCATTAGGTAGACATTTGAATTGTAACTCTGGAGAAACATTTGAAACTTATTCCCCATTCCTCTTCCCACAGGAAGAATTAAATACTTTATTCTCTAAATTCTGATAGAATAGGTTCATACTTTGCCTGTTTAGCGATACGTGTGCAGATCATATGTGCCTTGAGATCTTAGAAGGCATGAGTAATGGCTTATATAGGTTTTTACCCCAGCTCTTACATCTTAGTGGGTACTTAATAATTGCTTGTCCAAGTTTGTTGAATTCCATATGGCATTTTAGTAATTTTTACAAAAATAGTAAGAGAGTTTCAAGGCTGGACTGGTTTTGTTGGTTTGTTTTTTAACCCGAGAGACTATGTTTGTATCCCTTTATATTGGGCTATTTATGAGAGCTTAATTATTTTCAATTGTTTTTGCCTTATAACTATTTCTGAGTTGCTTTTTCTATTACCCTACATTTCTTATTCTTTCACATACCATCTATTCCATGATTACATGTAGATGTAGTTCCCCATTCTGTAGCCATACTAATAGTTCAGGATAGTTGAGCCCTTATTCAACCTCAAATATTCTTTCTTGTCAACTGAAGAGGCCCTTTTGTAAGTGCTTTATATATGTTACTGCTTTTCCCTTCCAATGGTATCTACAAGAAGAAACATTATTCTTCCATTTCACAGAAGAAAAAACAGCAGAGGCCAAGTAAGATCCATTTACTTGCCCGAGCTCATACTACTAGTGGTGGCAAGGGCATTATGTTCCCTGTGGCCCTATAAATCAGGCAGATTCTGCAGACTTTAGGTCCCATGAGAGTTTTTAGCTCCCCCTTCTGCTGTCCCCTTGGGGTCATTTCTCTGGCAAGCCTTCGCTGTTGATCCGGTCAGAATGAGTCACTCCTTCCTTTCTTATTCCATACCATATTGCCATATTCTAGCCTTTCCTTCACTCTTTCTAAATCAAAGGCAATTGCTAGCATGTGAGTCTCTTTGATTCCTTAATCGCTTCAACATAATTATAATAGCAACCAGTCATGGAGCCATTAATGTTTTCCAAGTATTACTGAGCATTCATATGATCCAGAAAATAATATATTTTGCTTGCAAAGAGCATTAAGCACAGTGAGGTAGTAAGTGATTTGTTCAAGGTCATACGGCATATACAATTCATCCTGAATTCAAAGTCCGTGGCCTGTTTATCTGTCATTATATCCAGTTCTTATTCTTCACATTGCAGAGACCACCTAGTCCCTTACACTTAACTCTTTATTATACATGTGTAAAGGTTGTCAAATAGATACTTGCCATTTTCTCTTTATGAAACACACACACACACACACACACACTCACACACACACATCCATATATGTACATATATATGCAGTGCATGAATAGAGACATACAATATTGTTTTTATCTTGTTTATCAAATTCAATTTTGGAGGAGAACTTTCTATTTATTAAACTTAGATTTTCTTAGAGGTCATCCATTACATTTTCCTATATCATCTTAGTCTTTCCCTTAGAAACTAAGGCCATTTTGTTCCCCTTTTGAGCCTTGTTTTTTAGAATAATGTATGGCTTACATTCTAAACCACATATTCTATAAAGTTTATATTCTAGTGCCAAAGGGACATGACAACCGATTTGCTCTAAGTATTTGCATCTGTTAGGAATGAATACATTGGGGAAAAGCTATAATTTCAGTGAATCAGTTATAAAACCTTGACCCATGATACTAAATCTCATGTCACATTAACTTGTTTTAAGACAAAGACTTTTTCTTTATTAGAGAAACATGCTCATTTATGAAAAACATTGGAATGGGGATAGATCACGACTCCTGAATTGATCTTCTAAATGAAACAATCTCAAGGAAAATAAAATAAGCTTCCTGAGTATCACTTAAATCTATCACAATCATAGAATCAAACCACTCTTCAAAACTGGAAGGAATAGGAACTGCATACCAGGTATAGATCAATACTGTCCTAGAAGCATCAACAGACCACCAAAGTGGTCCAGTAAAAATCAGATGCCAGTTTGGGGTTCCAGAAACTCCAAAGTTCCAATCTTCATAATAGTCTTTGATTTTGCCAGTGGAAGCACAACTGGGAAACTATGTAGGCCGTATTCATAGCATAACCGTGTACCCCTAAGCCCAACCCAATATTGATGAAAATGGCCTTTTCAAAGTCAAAAGATTTTGGAAAGCATTGCATAAGAGCATAAAAGCAAAAGACCTTGTGATTCAGAGAAGCTAAGAGTGCTGTGGAAAATTGTTTAATGCATTTTAGCCATTCATCCTAAATTCCATTTTTTATTTCTTCTAATGTTCCATTCAGATGTCTCCAGATCAAAGACCACAAGTATTGCCAAAGCATGTGATAGTTTTGAGATGCTGACAAATGTGAACCATAGACCCATATTTTCCTTAAACCTGGGGTTTATTTTCATATGTAAATTAGGTAATAGGAGATGCTAGCCTTCTGTAGATGAAAGGTGGGATTGTTAAAAATGCCAACATCTCTTGATAAGAATGGGTGGAGGGTCCAAATTATGTCCTTATTTATGGAAACCTTTTAAGGTGAGGAATATTATACCATGTGGAACTCATTATGCCACATTCTTTTTTTATACACCAACTATTCTGTATAAGAAGCAAATGCTTAGTTTATGAAACAACATAGTGATGTGAAACAGGAGACTGGGTCTTCAATGTATTGATGGCATACTCCTATAAGAGAAAAATACCTTACTTCCACTGAATAGTTTAAAGGTAATGGACCCCCCCCTCCAAAAAAAAAAGCCATTAAAAGGAATTGCATAGTGTCCCCAGGTAGGTATAAAGTGTAAAACTCAAAATGGAGAAGTTGAGGTGCTAGGAAGAGCTCTCTGGCGGCCTGATTAAATGGAGAATTTATTTGAAAAGAAGCATAATAGATATAAACACAGTGGAGGAGAGGTGAGGCCAATAGTAGTGCAAAACTAACTTCAAAGTCTGTCAGTCTTAGCTGTCAGGTCTGTATGATAAAGGTTCCTTCAGGAGCAACTGAGAACCTATCACCAATCCTATTCCCATTCCGTGCCTAAGAATAGCAACCAACTCACTTTTGTGTTGTAAGTGACTGTTTACTGAGCATCTCCTCATTATTTACTTGGTTTGATGTGTACAGTAAGAGTGGCATATGTGTACTATTGTTGTCCTCAGTCTCCAGCTAAGGGGATGGAAACTCTGAGAAGTTAAGTGCTTTGCCGAAGAACACGTACTTCACTAGTAAGCTGAGTCTGGAGGAGAACCCCTTTTTAATCTCTGTGTCTACCATACTACCACTTTCCATGTTGCTCAATTTATATCTTACAAATGAGAGTTGAACTGTCCCTAACCTACAAATGAGGTGGCTTCTAGCAGTTAGAGCTGCTCTTAGGACCCAGCAATGCCTGGTAGTGCAAACTCCGCAATTGAAATTGTTCAAGAAACAGAGTTGAAATCTCAGCTGTACTATTTACTGCATCTGTGACCTTGAGCACATTAAATAATCTTTCTAAGACTCAATTTCCTGATCAGTAACATGGGGATATTAGTGGTATTTCTTTCACAGTATTGTTTATAAAGATTAAATAAGAGTTGTGTAAAGTGATAAATTAGCCTGTTACATAGAAAGAAGTCAACAAATGTTTAGTTACTTTTAAAAATTGTTGTTTTACCTCAAAGAGTTATTTGAATTGCTTCTTCATACCAACAAAGAGTACTATTACATTTTCTGAAATGTGAGTTTGCGTTGTAGGTCATTGGTGATTCAGAAGAATAGAAAACACGTGCATGTATACATTACCATAGAAGATGGGTGGCAACTGGAATATTTAACATGGAAAAATGTGTTAACTACTGTTATAATTATTTCATAGCACTAAAATAAATGCTGTGCTTATTAGAACCAATTGTTTCTATAAACAGGCTTTCTCATCTTCAGCAGTTTGGACATTTTAGATCATAGAACTTTTGCTATGAGAGGTGTCCCATACATTGTAGGATATTTAGCAGCATCCCTGGGCTTTGCTCACCAGATGCCAGTAACACGTCCCACCCTCACCCCCCTTCCCCATATTGTTACAATAAAAAAATGTTCTAGGCATAGTCAAACGTCCTTTTGTGGGTAAAATCACCCTAGGTGAAAACCACTGCTTATGGTAATAAAAGTGATTTTTAATTTTGGCGGAATTATCGTTTCCAAATGATAGTCCACCTCAAAGCTTTTAGCTTTTTTTAAAAAAGCTTATTTGAATGGCACTCTTATTTTATAACATTTGGAGAACTTCTTTGTGATACTTACTTTAATTGTAAGCTTTTAAAGTATACACAGAGCTCGGATCATTACTTGAAAAGTCATCTAATAGTGTTTCTTACTTTGGTCACTAACCGTAGAAACCAGACATTTGGCTCCAGGTGTCTCTTGGCACCAGAAAAATAAATAAATAAATCCACCTTCAGGGACAAAGATGTGCCACCATTACTGAATTCAAAAGGACAGGCAATAGGTGTTCAACTCTACTGCCAAAAAGGAGTTCCAAAAATATTTTTTGTACCATGGCAGCATTGCTGCAGTAAATCTTCACCTTCTCATGGTGGCTACTTTTAAGGGCCATGCTCTTTGGAGTTAATAAATGCTAGTCTTTTGTGCTATGATATCAGTCACCTTGCTTCATATTCACAGTTGGTATGACGTCCGGCATTTTGGCAGCCCCAAACAGTAAGCCCCAGGAGTGCCCTCAAGTGGCATATGACTTAGTGACTGTCCCTTTTTCATTGTTCAGTGGAGGCCGAAGAGAACAGATGAGATGAATGGAAGGGAAGTGAGTCACATTGTCAGACCTCCTGCCCAGGTTTGCAGGTTCCTGAAATTCTTTGCCCTTTGATTTTTGGGGGTACAGATTTCTGGGACAGCACCCTTCATTTTTACATCATAAAAATGTACCAAAGCTAAGTTGCTTATCAAATACTTAAATTTTTTTTTATTGTTTTTCTGTACCTTCTTTCAAGGGACATGAGCAGCCTCTCTTTTTCTCTGTCTTCCCGTCTCACCTCCCTCTATACCTCTTCTGCTTCCCTCACCACTTCTCTACATTGCACTTCATCAAGGGAGAGGCAGCAGTTAAGTGTTTCATCAGTGCACGGTATTGCTTGTTGAGTCTGTGGTTTGTCCATCTCTAGTATATTAGAAAAGATGAACCAGATAAAAGCGGGCAGGATTAACTGTGACTCTTCAATTCTGAGGATAAACAGCCACATGCTCAAATTTCTTTTAATAACCTGAAAGGGAGAGGATTATGAGAATTATGATTATTTTGAGAATATTTCCTTTCTCTGTTTTTGTTCGTTTGTTTTGGTGTTGAGCAGCGAATCGTGTTTTAAAATACTATAACAGCCTTTTTGTTTCTGGTATACCTGTGTGCGATAGGTGTTGGCAGAATGGATGGTATGTCTATCAGTTAGCATTACTACCTACAGATACCAACCCAAGACACAGTGGCTTAAAACCACAGTCATCTGTTATTTCTCACAGAACTGTGGGTTTACTTGGGGCAGGACGTGGATGTTCTACTGGTCTCTCCTGAGCTGTTTTTCTCAGTCAGCTTAAAGGGCTAGGAAGGCCAGATGGGGTCTCTCTTTCTTGCCAAGGCCTTTCATCACGGTCCAATGGGCTCAGGGTTCTGAAGACATCAAAGGGGAAGCTACAAGGCTTTTGAGAAAAAGACTTTTACCACATTCCTTGGTTTAAAACAAGTCAGGGGCCATTCCAGATTTAAGGAGTAGGGAAGCAGACTTCACCTTTTCATGGGAAAACAACTAATTTATGACCTCTTTTATTCTACCTGTGAGTGTGACATTGCTGAACCTTACTGACTGGACTGGGAGAACTCTGCTCCCTGTGCTCATCAGCCTGGCTAAATACAATGTGACTTTTCCTCCTCAGGCTGGATGAGAGGAGCAAAGACCCTTAAGCTGACCCCAAAATACAGGGTTTATAAATAGTATATGAAATAGGTAAGTAGGGGAAAAAGTCCATTCCCAAACAATGTATTTTATAAATTCTACCTGATTACTTCTAGTACAGTGTCAGCTTATGGGTAGGAGAAACTTGTACTCTTAACTCTCCTTTCATCCTGACTCAGAAATATTTCCTTTACATCTTCCTGTTATTCCGGATTTATTGGGGCTAGTGGGCCTCTTTTTGAACTCAGAAACAGGGCTGTGATTCATTCACAGTGAATCATAAACCTGAAAGGGGCATTTCCAGCCTCTCAGACCACTTCCCCTCCTGCAGCCTTTGCTTTTTGGTTTTGAATTTTTTTTAATTTCAGAGTGGAGAAAACAAAATTAGGCCAATGAGGTTGACAGCTTTCCCATAGACTTCTGCTGGACTCAAGTCCTCAGACTGCTGGTCTAGTATGTTGTCCAGACCTTAAAATTTTGTTCAAATTAATTTGATTAAAGAATCCCTTAACATTTTCTAGATACATTAGGAAAATAACCAGAAAGCATCCATATAATGAGAGGAGGTGTTCTGTTTGGCACCAAGACGGTTGAAGTAGGTAATTTTGACACATTAGACCCAATTCAGCATCCCATATCTTCAAGCCTATGACTAATGGAAAGAAAGGCTGATGGGTAGCCAGGGAGCACCCTGAATGCACTGGGCACCCATTTGGTCAGTGCAGCTACAGCAGCAGAAAATCATAGAGCGATGCTAAATAAAGATGGGAGAAGATGTCAAAGATAAACTTGCCCTGCCTTGCAGCAGTTCCTGTAGTCATGATGGTGGAAAGCACTTCAGGCCATTCAAAATTACTTTACATGCTGTCTTGGCAGGCCCTACCCTGGTTCACAGTGGCTGCCTGGTGTATCTGCCGCTCCCGTTGGAGTGCTAGCCTGACTGTGCCGTGGCTGTAGCAAGAGCCTTTTAGTGTCAGTATGCCTGGGAGGCCCATCATCTACAGTTTCCTCCACTCAGGCTCCAGCCAACTGCAGCAGATGCTATTGTTACCTCTTCTATTGAATAAAGTAGGAAGCAAAGAGAGAAAGAAATTTGTCAATATTGTTTTTCTGCTGGAACCGAAATAAAAACTGTGTGTGGTACATTGTCCAATGGTAACCCGTGTGCCAAATCTCCATTTTGTGTAACATGCTTATATAAGACTCTGCTTCTGTATTTCTTAACGTAATGTAAATGACCTTCTTGATTCCACTGTAGAGGTGCCACAATTATAGCCATTCAGATCTCTCAATTTGGATTTGTGCTGTTTACTTCTTGCAGTCGCACACCCTTTGCTTCTGACCATGCCATCTGCTGGAATCATTTATATTTCTTTCACACGCTCAGAGTGTTTGTTATATGCCTAAATTTAGCTGTGTAAAACTCTGAAATCTTTTATATAAATAAACAAATGTTTAGCAAGTATTTTTAAACCTTTTGCCTTGATAACTAGCATTAATAAGGTGCATTTGCGTCTCTAACGTAAGTACAGCTGAGAGAGTTTCTTGTTACAGAAATGTATGAAGTGACACCAAAATCAGAAAGAAGAGAATCCCTTTTGAAATAAAAGCCTGCATATGTAAGCAGTCTCTGTGCTGAAGACAAAGTAAATGATGATAAATTGAGCTAACAAAAAGATCCTTTTTGGATACAAAACATAACTGGGGGTGAGGGGTGTCTTTAAACTCTACTAAGTCGCTGGACTTCCCACGTTATCCCATCAAACTTTTGAGCCCCAATATGACATTGATGAGCCTGCAGAGTCTGACCGATCTCTTTCTCACGGCTCTATTCTCATCACCTAGTTAAGAGCAATGTGAATGTCCTTCACAGGACTGGATGAGAAGAGAAAAATGCCTAAATACAACCCAAACTGAGGGTGTTTTGATCAATCTATAAAATAGGTAAAAGAGGAGGAAAAAAGGCCTTTTAATTGTTTTTCAAAATGGCCACCTGATTTTTTTTTTTTCAGTTGCATTTTAGGTTTGATGGTACATGTGAAAAACATGTAAGATTGTTGCATAGGTACACACATGGCAGTGTGATTTGCTGCCTTCCTCCCAATCACCTATATCTGGCATTTCTCCCCATGTTATCCCTCCCCAACTCCACACCCCCTGGTGTTCCTCCCCCTATTTCCCCCCCGCCCACAGACCCCAGTGTGTGATGCTACCCTCCCTGTGTTCATGTGTTCTCGTTGTTCAACACCTGCCTGTGAATGAGAACATGTGGTGTTTGATTTTCTGTTCTTATGTCAGTTTGCTGAGAATGATGGTTTCCAGGTTCATCCATGTCCCTACAAAGGACACGAACTTATCATTTTTTATGGCTGCATAGTATTCCATGGTGTATATGTGCCATATTTTCCCTGTCCAGTCTATCATTGATGGGCATTTGGGTTGGTTCCAAGTCTTTGCTATTGTAAACAGTGCTACAATGAACATTCATGTGCATGTGTCCTTATAATAGAACGATTTATAGTCCTTTGGATATATACCCATTAATGGGATTGCTGGGTCAAATGGCATTTCTATTCCTAGATCCTTGAGGAATCTCCACACTGTCTTCCACAATGGTTGAACTAATTTACACTCCCACCAACAGTGTAAAAGTGTTCCTGTTTCTCCACATCCTCTCCAGCATCTGTTGTCTCCAGATTTTTTAATGATCACCATTCTAACTGGCATGAGATGGTATCTCAATGTAGTTTTGATTTGCATTTCTCTAATGATCAGTGATGATGAGCATTTTTTTATATGTTTGTTGGCCTCATATATGTCTTCTTTTGTAAAGTGTCTGTTCATATCCTTCCCCCACTTTTGAATGGGTTTCTTTGTTTTTTTTCTTGTAAATCTGTTTTAGTTCTTTGTAGATTCTGGGTATCAGCCCTTTGTCAGATGGGTAGACTGCAAAAATTTTTTCCCATTCTGTTGGTTGCCGATTCACTCTAATGACTGTTTCTTTTGCTGTGCAGAAGCTGTGGAGTTTGATTAGGTCTCATTTGTCTATTTTGGCTTTTGTTGCCAGTGCTTTTGGTGTTTTAGTCATGAAGTCCTTGCCTGTGCCTATGTCCTGAATGGTTTTGCCTAGATTTTCTTCTAGGCTTTTTATGGTGTTAGGTCTTATGTTTAAGTCTTTAATCCATCTGGAGTTAATTTTAGTGTGAAGTGTCACGAAGGGGTCCAGTTTTTGCTTTGTGCACATGGCTAGCCAGTTTTCCCAACACAATTTATTAAACAAGGAATCCTTTCCCCATTACTTGTTTTTGTCAGGTTTGTCAAAGATCAGATGGTTGTAGATGTGTGGTGTTGCCTCCGAGGCCTCTGTTCTGTTCCATTGGTCTATGCCTCTGTTTTGGTACCAGTACCATGCTGTTTTGATTACTGTAGCCTTGTAGTATAGTTTGAAATCAGGTAGTGTGATACCTCCTGCTTTGTTCTTTTTGCTTAGAATTGACTTGGCTATGTGGGCTCTCTTTTGGTTCCATATGAAGTTTTAGGTGGTTTTTTCCAGTTCTGTGAAGAAGGTCATTGGTAGCTTGATGGGGATAGCATTGAATCTGTAAATTACTTTGGGCAGTATGGCCATTTTTACGATGTTGATTCTTCCTCACCATGAGAATGGAATATTTCTCCATCTGTTTGTGTCCTCTCTTATTTCCTTGAGCACTGGCTTGTAGTTCTCCTTGAAGAGGTCCTTTACATCCTTTGTTATTTGTATTCTTAGGTATTTTATTCTCTTTGTGGCAATTGTGAATGCAGTTCGTTCTTGATTTGGCTCTCTTTAAGTCTCTTATTGGTGTATAAGGATGCTTGTGATTTTTGCACATTGATTTTGTATCCTGAGAGTTTGCTGAAGTTGCTTATCAATTTCAGGAGATTTTGGGCTGAGACAATGGGGCCTTCTAAATATACAATCATGTCATCTGCAAATAGAGACAATTTGACTTCCTCCTTTCCTGCTTGAATACCTGTTACTTCTTTTTCTTGCCTGATTGCTCTGGCTAGAACTTCCAATACTATATTGAATAGGAGTGGTGAGAGAGGGCATCCTTGTCTAGTGCCAGATTTCAAAGGGAATGCTTCCAGTTTTTGCCCATTCAGTAAAAATATAGAATGCTTCATGAATTTGCCTGTCATCCTTGCGCAGGGGCCGTGCTAACCTTCTGTGTGTCATTCCAGTTTTAGTATATGTGCTGCCAAAACAAGCACGGCCACCTGGTTTTTTGTTGTTGTTGCCATTTTCACCTCACTGATTTGCCTTTTCCTCTTGGATCTATAGCTACCCCTAGATGTGTATGTAAGAGTGAACCAGAGTGCCTTTTTCTGTCTGTAATTTTTCACTTCACTGCAGTAAGGCTCCTCTTTGTCACTGAAGCAGAGCTTATATTGAGATTTGACTGATGTGTTGCCTAAATACAGATTATTTGAAGATGCTGGGTTATTTTAAAATTACACTGTCCTCCAAGCTCAGAGTGAATATCATAAATGAATATAGAAGATAAATGTATATAAGATGCAACTTCAGTTGGTCACAATTGTAAGCCTCCAAATTTTATCAAGAGCTAGGGTTGTTGGATTTTCATGTGAACAAAGACCCTGGATGGTCTCCAGATATAAGCTGGGTTTTACACATGCTCTAAAACACTGGTAAAAATAAAGTACTTCCTAAAGCAGTAGGCAATTGCATATACAGTAGGCAATTTTAAAATGTAAACTGATAAATGAAGCTCCTGTATCTTTAAATCTTCATTTTAAGTGTGTCCTAATAAAAAAAAATCTGAATTCCATGACTTTCACTGGATATTTGGGTTTCAGGATTTAAAAAATGATCATTGTAGAACTGTAGAAAAATAAGAGATATTGGACTAGCCTAAAACTGTATGAACTTCTGCAGGTCACTGACTTAAGTTATATTTCTGTAGGAAAGTAGAGAACATTCTGGTCATTTGCCAATGGCATCATCTTCTCAGAGGAACACTGGATAAAATCTGGTAGATTAAGTGCTTGTTTATTTTGATGATGATCATGATGATGATGATTGGTTTTCTGGAATTCATAATAAAAAATTTTCTCTGTTTCTTTGAAGAAACAGCTTCAGTCCAAATTTTGGCTTATAGATGGTCAGTCATTCTTCACATCTTAAGCTCTCACTTTGTCAACCTGAACCCAACTCCAGTTCTAATCAGGTGGGCACAGTCTTTCTCAGTCTGGACTCATGCTCACGACTTAGATTTGAAAAACCATAACCAATCATGTTACAAACCACAGAAATCCTTTACAATCTATGGTTAGTATTTCATCCCTCTTCTGTGTGCCTGAAAATGATTGACCTGGTTTCAGACTATTTCTCTGAGGTACTATAGTCTGAAATCCATTTGCTATCTTGGTTCAATTAAACACAAACTTATTGTGGGTACGATAGTAACGTGTGCAATAGTAAAGCTACAAGCATAGCAAACCATTTCCAGAATTCAGTAAGGAGCTCTGTGAATGTATTCCAGTTGTAAGAGATTGGTATGTATGCCTTTGTTGTTATGTTTATATTTTCTGAAGGCTTTGGAAAAAATATGTTTTTTTATATCAGACATAATTCTGCATGTAAGTCATTTTTAGAGTGAAGCTTTGTGGCCTAAATAATGTACAAAGGTACAAATTCTTAATATGGTCTTCCTATCTCTTGCTGAATTCTCTGCCTGCATTTCTACATGGGCAATCTTATCAAGTCACACAGTTCTCTGCTAAAGCTTCACCATATCACAGTTTGGCTGTGGCCTAAGAAACTTAAGTTCAGTCCTAGCTATTGGAAAGAAGGTGAATGGGCCTGAACAAGATCCTCTTTGTTACTTCTGCCCTGTGGAGGACTTTACATTTAGGAACTGCTTTACCTTAAGGGGGAACAAAGGAGGCTCTTTTTTCAGTTTTTTTTTTTTTTTTAGTTTGGTCATTTTCAAACATACCCCAAAGTGGAGAGAATGTATAATGAACCCCCAAGCACGAATCACATAGCTTCAATTATCAATATTCCAGGCAGTGTTTGTTAAATGGCAATTCATTTTCTATTTTTCAAAGAAACTCATTACATAACTGCCATTCAACATTTGAGATTTTAATAGCCTGGGCAGCCTTATCTAAGGTAAATATTCAATTTCCATGGGCAGAGGTAGTGTAAAGGGTATTCATTACTGCTTTCTTGGCTCTAGGTTGAGTGCTCCTAGACTATGTATTCTGTGCTGTTAGAATCTGACTTTCTAAATCTGAAGTCTTACAGCATGAAGTTTCAAAATGATTCCAGACTATTGAAACCACCTCCCACTTTGGAGAACTTGTACCCCAAATTGTCGGTAGCAACTATTTGGCTTGCAGTCTTTTAAAATTTTTACTCAGCACTTTCACTTTTTTTTGGTTTTTTTTTTTGAGATGGAGTCTTGCTCTGTCACCCAGGCTGGAGTGTAATGGCGTGGTCTTGGCTCACTGCAACCTCCACCTCCCAGGTTCAAGCGATTCTCCTGCCTCAGCCTCCCGAGTAGCTGGGATTGCAGGTACCTGCCACCATGTCCAGCTAATTTTTTGTATTTTCAGTAGAGGTGGGGTTTCACCATGTTAGCCAGGCTGGTCTTGAACTCCTGACTTTGTGATCCTTCCACCTCAGCTTGTCAGAGTGCTGGGATTACAGGCATGAGCCACCACGCAGGCCAGCACTTTTAATTAGGCTCAGTTCATCAAAGGTCCCACCACTCCCCTGTTATTTGATATCCTGTTTCACTTTCCTCTCCTTTTTTTAACCTATGAAAGGAGAGCTAGATTGAAAATGTTCTGCTACTTCATTGAGAAGAAAGAAAAAAAAAGCAGTTTTACAAATCTGTGTGTTGACCATTTAATCTGACCCATTCATAATTGGCATACATAATTCCCACCTATTCTGGATTATTAAGAAGTATGAGAAAATCTACAGAAACAGAAAAAAGGTTTGAACATAAGAATGAAAATCACTCAGAAAATTTGGGAAACCTCATCAATACATTTGTATACTGAATCATGGATTATTAATTGATGCAAGGGGGTGAATTGCTGTAGTCAAATAAGTATGGATAAAAATAAGTTACACTGGTTTCTTTACAGCAGGGTTTTTCAACCTTATGCATTCGGAGACTTCAAGAGGAAATTTATAGAACTCTTTTTGCCCCTCTTGGAATTTCTCTAAGGACTCCAGGAAGTGCTGTCATAAAAGAAATATTGCATAGCCTGGATAGTTTGGCTTACAGTAATAAAACAGGATGATGAACTACTAAGTGTAATTGGCTAAAGAATTAGCAGCATTCAATTAAATTTATATATAAATATCACCAGAAAATATTTATTACAGCTGCACTGTGCAAAACTCTGAGTTATACAGTATAGAGATGAAACAGTATAGTATCTCCTTCAGAAAACTTAGATCATCATATATGAAGAGATCTAAAGCAAGACCATTCAGAAGAAACCTTGATCTGTATGTTCACTTAAGACTTGGTCATTTAGAGAAAATCTCAAGTGAAGCAAAGAACCCTAAAATTGATATATATAGTTGACACTAACTTCAAATGCATAACTGTATATTAGATTCACTAGTTTTTAAAATTTGGGACTAAGAAATCATCTTTGAGTATGATCAATGATTAGCAGATTTAGTGTTTTTAATATCGACAGCAAACAGTATTTTGTTTCTAAAGTTAAGCATCCTAAGTTTAGAATCCGTCTAGATTTTTATAAATATTTTCCCATTTGCCCGCAGTTGTGTCACCCTTACCTAATTCAATGGTACTTTATTGGTGGTGACGGGCCACAAATTACTTTTACATCAGTCTTTCCAAAGTAGTTAACTTGATTTTTACAGAAACAGCTCATTTATTTTGTAACTACATCTCGTCATTTTATTTACATTACTTAAATAAAATGACTGATTGTTTTTGGAATAAACATGGTGACACCACAAACATCCTGGTGGCACAGACATCTTGGAAAGTAGCCTAACATTGAGCTGACCTAGTGCAGGGAGCAACGGGAGGCGCTTTTAGGAGGAAAAGGAAATTTTGAGTTAAACTGGTTAAATGGAAGTCAGATAAGACCATTTTGGTAGCCGTATACCTATGGAAAGAAACCAATGATGGAACAAACAGTAAGTGGTACTTGAGATAAGGGGAGGAAAACAGAACTTTGATACAAGCAAAGCAATGCAACTGAAGTCAGAGATTTTATTTTAGTCTCTGTTCCTGAGTCTCTCCACCTGTAAAATACAAGGGAATGGCCTGATGGGTGGCTCTTAAAATCTTAAAACTTTAGCAAGCGCCAGAATCACCTAGGGTCTTTTTAAAATTCAAATAGCTCACACCTATAATCCCAGGTGGCTCAGGCCTGTAATCCCAGCATGTTGGGAGGCTGTGATGGGTGGATCACAAGGTCAGAAGTTCAAGACCAGCCTGGCCAATATGGAGAAACCCTGTCTCTACTAAAACTACAAAAATTAACTGGGCATGGTGGTGCGTGCCTGTAAGGCACTCAGGTGCCTGAAGCAGGAGACTTGCTTGAACCTGGGAGGTGGAAGTTGCAGTGAGCTGAGATCGCATCACTGCATTCCAGCCTGGGCAACAAGGGGAGACTCAGTCTCAATAATAATAATAAAGTAATAAACAAAATTCAAATTGCTTGGCCCCACCCCTAGAGTTTCTGATTCTCTAGATTGGGGTGGGGCCTGAAAAACTGCATTTCTAACAAATTTGCACATGATACTGATGCTGTTGGTCATGGCGGTACACTTTGAGAACCACTAGATTTCTAAGATCCCTGCCGAATCTAAAATCTGATTCAATCGTATGTTACATTTTATTTTCCTGAGAGGATTTAAACCAGAAAATAATGTATTAGTTTCATAACATCTATTCGTGTAAGTCTAATAAACTATGCAAGTTTATAAGCTATGCATCAATAGAAAGGTTGCAGATCTACTCTGCGATTAGGCCAACTGAATAAAATATTCAATTCTAGGTCATTAATTCATAGAAAAAAAGAGAGTAATGAAATTAACATTAAGAAGCTATTATTTAAAATGCTTTTTGCTCACAGTATCATAGCAAACTTAGGAAATGGGTTTACATTTTACAGGTGAGAAAACAGAGACTCAGGAAGGATAAATAAATGACTTATTTAAGACACAACCTGCATGTGGAAGAGCCAGAGTGTCTCTAAATTCCCTAAAAGTTTTGTTTGCCAAGGTGGTTCTTTCATAAAATGAGCACATCACATCAAAGACCAGTTGCTCTGTCATGCTTACTTGAAAACAAAATAGTCAGTTTCATGAACTCAGTCAGGACTTTAATTATGTTTAAACTATTTGAATCAGTAAGAAGTGACGCTTCAAGGAAAAAAAAAAGTAGGCGGGGGGTGGATTTTAAAGTGTAACAAGTCTTTAATTCCATGAGCAAAATCTGAATTTCTTCCCCAGACTGTAACTTTCAACCATTCGAGATCTGTGGTTAGAGACAGTGTCTATGAGGTCACATTGAATCCTCCTCCCTTAAAACTATGCCAAGCATGAAACAGACACTAAATAAAGTGAACATTAGAGTAGAAGTGTCACAGTCCAAAACAATGCCAGGAGCCACACCATGCAAGAATCTAAAGGGTATAATGATCTATATGTATAGATTAAAAAACAAGGGAGTTAGTAGAATTACTCTTAAAGACCAAGAAGTAATGGTTTCCTTTGTTACTTAGGGGAAAGAGGGAGGGACCAAAAGTAGGCTATTGACCAGACTTTGTGAGTACCAAACCCTGTAGGATACTTACATTCATTGTGACAGGGTTGGTAAATGTTGAGTCTGGGGCTTGCATTCTAATTAGCATTATGTCTCGTATTAATGGAAATGTATGCTGCATCCCTGAGAATTATCAGGGCTAATAAGCATCCCATTTCCAATGTCTTCTTCCCTATATGAGGTAGATTAAGTCTGCAAAGAGAAGCATTTAGTGGAAAAGGGATGCACCATATAGCGTCCCTAGTATTAAGAAAAAATTTCATTTTCCTTGAATGGGTTCCTTACTAAGGAGCAGTTTGTTCATCCCTAATCACCACATTCTCTCCATTTCCAAAACAGACACAGAACCAATAAAAGGAACTATTGCTTGTCTCAAATGCAGTATATTTGCTGCTTATATGGTCTTTGATGAATTCGGCCCTCGGTTTATCCCTCTTCAGGGGGTTCCAGTCCAGTAAGGAAGGCAGCTTGGGGTCTCCAAATTGGCCTAGACTCCATGAGTGCGGCTGCCAAGGCATTTGATAGAATGAATATTGCCAAGCTGTTCCTGCATCTCTTGGGGAGCTGCTAAAATGAGGCACTGTCTTACAAACAGAGGGAATAGCTTTAACTTCAAAGAATTTGTATTCATTTTCTGGTAAAGTCAGGAAAAGCAGCTCATCCACAGCAGTGACTGGAGAGTGAGGAAAAGAGTTGGTGTGTCCCCAGAAACTCTGCCCTTCAAAGAAGGATTGTTGGCATTGCAAAATGATCCCACAGCGTGCTGGATTCCTCATGACTTTGTCAGTTATGGAAGACATCTCGGGTTCTTTGTAGCATATAGCTTATGGAAAATAGATATCCATGAGTTAATCTATCAGCAGATTAAATACCCTACCAGTAACTTAAATATAGTAATTTTATAAGTTTCTTTAATAAAAGAGTAGATTTTCAGATGCTGCCACTCATCATCTATATATTTTAGTGCTTTTGAGTATTTCTATATAATTATATTTATTACTGTAAACTATAAGTGCTGTAATTTCGTTTGACCTATGTTGCAGTTGGATACATTATTTGATCAGAGCTCTCAATGAATCATTTTATGCACACATATTTAGTTAATTGGTCCCCCCAAACCCCCGCCTGTGTTTATATGTAATATAGTCTATAAGGGAAAGGAAATCAGCCTATGTGCCCCTGAGTCTGGTAGAAGAGCAATTAAGTTCTATCAGAACAAACAGCTGTCAATAATGAGGTCTGAATTAAAATTACTACCAAAGAAAGAAATCTAGACATCTGCAGGAAATGTGAAAATATTTTTATAACCTAATAGCTGAGATCTGGACAGGGGTATCACTGAGTTTTCCCAGCTGTACCTGCAATGTATTTTGAAATATTCCCAGACTGAAAGAACACTGGAATTCATTGCATGAAGTAGATTGCATTTAAAAAGATGATGTTGGCAGCCTTTGAACAGTGTGTATTTTGATTTCATGTAATCAGCATGAAAATTTTCTATTTCAAACTATTTTGCTGTGCCCCTTGGCCATAAAATGAAGCTTAAAAATAGTTCTGTTATCTTTGTTTTGTATCTTTCCAATCAGGGTTCTATTGCTTGGATATTTTTGTTTCTGTCTTTGGAAAAATACTTTTAGGTCTTATTACATGATATCTGATTTCCTCGCATTTGGGGTTGTTTCTTGCAAAGCAAATTTCACAAGGTGGGCTTCAGGCATCAATTACAACATAATTCCATATATTTTCAGGTATCTGAAGATAGTAAAGTATTTGGTCTTTAAAAAAAAAGAAAAAACTTTACATATTTGAAAGCAGCCCTTTGCAGTCCCTCCTTTCCATTCATCTTTACATTGCTGAGGACAAAATATCCATATGAATGAGAGATTACGAACATTTATGTATATGTAAATATACACATATGTACATTATTATGAGTGTTTCTATGCATCTTTTTTACTTTTACGTATAAAAACATTAGGAATGTTTTTGTATCCTCATTACCCAAAGTGTGGCCCGTGGACCAGCGGTAGCAGCATCACTTTAGAACTTGCTGGAAATGCACAGTCTTTGGGGCCACCCCAGACTTACTGAATAAGAACCTCTGGGACAGAGTCTAGGACTCTGTGCTTTCACATTCCCTAGCAGCATGTTCAGACTACTCGAACATATAATACGTTTATTCTATGTATCTATTGCCATGCAGGGGTACACTGCACGGCAATTGATACATAGAAGAGGAATCTCTCATTTTGCATCCATGGAGTTCAATGATTGAATATGAACTTTCAGCTCTTTGGTGTCACAGTCTTCTGACTCTTTCCCGTTTTCTAGTATTATTCTACATGCGAGGCAAACCCTATCCTCTCTGCTGTCATCCTGAAACATGACCAACAGGTTATTCTAAATATACTTAATACTCGTTTTTATTTATTAGTTATTATGTACACATACCACAGTAACTAAAAGTCAATCATAGACCAAAATAGTCTAAAAGAGATAGAGCTGACATAAAGGTAACTAGTTGATACATAACCAGGTAGGTTAGTCTGAAGAAAAGAGGTTTATTTGGCCTAAAATGGCTTCTTGCAGGCTGTACAGAAGCACGATGCTTCTGGTGAGGGCCCCAGGAAGTTTGGTGGAAGGCAAAGTGGGAGCCAGCCACATGGCAAAAGAGGGAGCAATAGAGAGATGGGAGAGGTGCCACCTTCTTTTTAAATAATCAGGTTTCCTGTAAACTCAATACCTCTCATTACCACAGGGAGGACACCAAGCCATTCATGAAGGATCCGCCTCTCATGCTCCAAACACTTCCCACCAGGCCCAACTCCCAACATTGACGATCATATTTCAGCAGGAGATTTCCAGGGTACACATATCCAAATTATATCACCAGGTACACAAAGATCTATTTTGACAGTGCTTTTAAAACCATTTTTTTATTTTTCAGTAGTGGAATAGAGTGGGCGAGCTAATGTTTCATAAATAAAAGACAATTACAGGAACAGCATTTCTCTCTTGGACCAATATTCTTATAGCTTAAATTGATAGAATTGTGAACCTTGGGTTCATCTGGGGAGCTCCAAGGAAATCTGTCATCTGTTCACACTGAAATCCCACTGGTGGGAGTGAGAATCTGGGGGAAGGGGAAATGTGGAATCAAGTCTTAGCTCCCTAGTGACAGCCACGTGCTCTTGATGAAATTATTAAGCCTGTAAATACATGCAACTACTTGAGTCAAACCAACGAACAAAAAAAACCTTATATTTTAACAGTACCTGTATTCAAGGAGATCAAAGGCCCAGATGCTCAAAATTCATTAGAAAGTAAAGTTCAATGATTCGTAGAGAAAGGAAAAAGAAAATTCTTTGTCTTGAAGCAGATTAGAAGAAAATTCAGTTATGTGGATAGCAATTTATAACTGAAAATTAGAAACCTTTCTATAATTTTTTTTGTATTGGTGTTATTTCATGAAATTTTCATTCATCTTTTAGGATTACTGTTACCAGTCATGGTACATAGTTATTTCAGTGGATGAATGTATTACATAACATTTTTCTGCTTATTTTGCTATTATTTTACTGCATTTGTTTGAGAAGGTGAATCCCATTTTACGTTTTGCACTGAGTGATTCCAGCACCTTATCATTACAATAGCAAGGTTATGAAAAAGTGAAAAAAAGAATAAGGAGTACTTAGCAATGATCCTAAACTTCTAAGTTTTGGTGAAATCTAAATAAGGTATTAAATTTTTCAATTTACTATTTAATTTTTTAAAAAGGCATATTTTAAAAATACGATCACTTGAACCCGGGAGGCGTAGGTTGCAGTGGGCCAAGATCGCGCTACCTGCACTCCATTCTGTCAACAGAGCAAGACTCCATCTCAAAAAAAAAAAAAAAGAACGTTGAGTAGGCACAAAGGTTAGAAGAGGCAATAGGCAGTACTGGCCAGGTGCAGTGGCTCATGCTTGTAATCCTACCACTTTGGGAGGTTGAGGTGGGCAAATCAGCTGAAGTCAGGAGTTCGAGACCAGCCTTGCCAAAATGGTTAAACCCCATCTCTACTAAAAATAAAGAAAATTGGCCAGATGTGGTGGCGTGTGCCTCCCAGCTACTCAGGAGGCTGAGGCAGGAGAATCACTTGAACCCAGGAAGTGGAAGTGAGTCCAGATCGCATTGCTGCACTCCAGCCTCCTAAGCGACACAATAAGACTCCCTCTCAAAAAAAAAAAAAAAAAGGCATACTGAATCATAATTCAGAAACCCATGAGTTTAAGAAGCGAGATCAGAAGCCAACAGGCCTCTGTAAAACCAACACAAAGGCCCGCTGGAGGTTGGTAGGGTGAAGCAAACAAACAATCAAAGCAGGCCCCTTTTTAAGGCAGTAGGTAAATTGATTATATTGAGAGTGAGATTCTTGCTGCCTAATAGAAGCCTGCAGGAGTCAAACAAAACAAGGAACCATGCATTTAGGGCCTTCCAAACGATTGGACTATTTATGTTTAAATAAAGATAATAGCATTTTAAAAAAGCAAAACCGAAAAACTCCGTGCATTTGTGTACATACTAAAATCTTGTCTGTGTGGGAAAATGATGATATGCCTTAGAAAATAATCAAAGTGTGCTGAACTTCGAACACCCTCCACGTACCTTTCAGTGGCTCGTCTCTTTGAATTTTGCTTAACCGAATCAGGGGAAATAGCATTTGTATTGCTAATGACAAGCCTGCTGTGTGGACCGAGCAGCTTGCACACATTGTATGTAGTCCCTGTGATTGTAACTTCCTTAGTCTTGAGCAGCATACAACCCACGCAGCTTTACTTGGAGGGCCTGGGAAATGGTTGTCTCCTCTTTCAAAAAGTGGGCAATTTTGTATCATTCTAAATAGAATTTAGAATATGGACCGAACTGATATGGTTTGCAAGGAAAAGCTCTGTGTGAATGACATAGTTCTCTAAACTTCATTCGATTGACCTCTATTCAGATTCAAGTTAACTACCAATTATCAGAGCCAGCTGAGTCTGCTCTATCCATGCCTAATAGCCTGTTCTATCCATCTGTAAAATGAGACCTGCTGCGGCATATTCAGGTGTTCTTTATGCGAACATATTAGCCTTGTAATTTATCATGAAAATCCCATTTTAAGAATAATAGGGAATGTGTTCAGCAGATAATGTTGGGACAAAGCCAAGATCAAGCAGAAGTCTCTGGAAGATTTTAGTTTGAGTCTTCATGTTTGAAAAAAAATAATAATAAGATTAGGCCCATGTGGATTTTTTTTTTTTTGAGATGGAATTTTGGTTTTTTAAGAAATTGCTTTTTCACCCGGCATGAAAAAATAAAATGCCCAAGGGGATGTAATCTGATAGCTCATCCCTGACCTCTCAGTATTATATACAAGGTTCTTTATCAGGCAGTTGGGGAACTTTGTGCTTAGTCTCTGCCCCTTCTCTGTTGATGAAATGTGAAGTTCCTTTGATCCTCAGAAGACACCACCCAAGTGTACCTCATTTTACCTTTCTAGAGTGATCATGGCTCTGGGTCATCTCCCTAACACTAGATTTCTTTTTTAAGTCTTTGCCAAGCATTCTCCTACGATAACTTCTGTATCCCCTTACTTTCTGAAATCCACTCCTTCAAAGCCAGCACCAGATGGCAGGATTAAGTCTGGGCTGCAAGGAGCTGCCAGCATCACCCAGTCTTCTAAGAATCCATCACTGAGCAAGGCAGTACTCCTAAGCTAGAGTTAATTAAGTTCCATATTTTCTCTCTGCATCTTTGGAGCCTCAACTCTCTATGGAACTTTAATTATGATATTTATTATAGTAACTTTTTACCCATTGCTTTATATTTCTTTTTAATTCCATTATTATGTTATCTTTAAAAAAAAAATACACTTCAATGGGAGTGAAGGTTCATCTCTGTACTGCCACCATCGCCAGTTCTTCTCAGAAGTATCGTTCTGATTTGTGTATCTTTTCAGATCATGTTCTGTGCATTAACATGTGTACAAATAGAGATATATAATCTAGAATGGACTTTTTAAAAAATGTAAGTGTATTTTATATATGTATATGGTGTTCTGCAATATGTTTAAGTAGGCTTAACAATGTCTTAGAAACTTTTTTGGAGGGGATCAATACAGGGATTCAACCTATTCTTTTTAACTGCCACAGTGCATCCATAATATTGATATACCATGGTTTGTTCAAGTATTTCCCTAGCCTTAATGATTGTTTTACCAAGTTGATTTGCTATGTCAACAAGCTACAATAAAATCTATTTCTCCTCTCTTTGTGCATATGTGTACATAGACCTCCATGCTAGATTTCTAGAACTGGAGGTGCTGTGTCAATGAGTCAATTAGCATTTAAAATGTTAATGAACATTGCAAAACTGCTCCTTGAAACAACTATAAAAACTATATTTTAATTATTATAGGCATATAGTGTATATTGAATAGCATGGATAAATTTGACTGCATTTCCATGACAATTTGTTGAAAATTTTTTTTAATTTCAATTTTGTAATATATAAATTTTAATTAGACAGGTGAATATTTTTGTCAAAGAAACTAATGTAAGTTTTCTGGTTATCGTAGGTAAAAGAGATACTAAGAGAAACTAAACTATCTGTGGGTCTGTTTTTTGTAGAGAACCCCAATATTGTAGAGATGCCCAATATCTGCATATAAAGTTAAATGTTGATATTTAGCAAAGAGAGTTTCAAAATGGCATCCTCATCAGAGTCACATCACAGTTTTATTAGAACAGTCACCTAATTAATCTTATAAACCTGAGTCATAAAATGCAACCTATGCCCATTGAAGTCAAATACTTGTAGTTCCTAAATACCATTCTGATAGGTGAAGCATAATATCCAATCCAATTATGAGCTGACATAGGTACAAAATGCTCACAATGATTTCTTTTAGTCCGTATTTTACTGTCTTTGCACCCAACTAAATGATCTGTGAAATCTCCTAATTCTGTTGTCTTTCTTTGTCAGATGAGTGAAGTACCAGTAAAGGGTCAGCATCATAACTCCACCACATTAATCAAAGCAGCCAACTTTTAAACACATCTCCAGAATGACTTTAGCATAAAACAGTCCCCGTATGCCTCTTAATTTTTTCTTTTTGCACATTACTACTGTATCACATCACGGGACATTAAGCAAGTTTTAACTCATGGGACTAACTCAATCATGTTTTTAGAAATTGAAAACAAATGTTGTAACTGGATGAATGATAATATTGAAGTAATAACAATTTCCTAGTAGGCATACTTGTTTTAATGGATTGCATAGTCTTTTAGCTTGTAAACACGGGAATGTCTATCAGTCACTGGATTTTTTTTTTAAACACTAAAGTTTAGCAATAATTTGGTTTGCTGCAGAAGTCAAAACAAATACAGAGTTTATTTGTGTTCTGATTCTCATTAGTGGAATCGTTTTCCTCACTGAAAAATAGCTTAAAAAGTTGATTTGACTTTAGGGATAACAGATACCAGTGTAATGCTAGACTCGATTTAAAAGTGCTGTTTTCTTTTTGCTGGAATTTTCTGTAACATAATAAATGTACCATATTGTGCTGGCCTCAGCCTGAAGCACAGGGTTATGCACTCCTTTTTTTTTAAAGATATTTAGAAAAATCTGTCTCCGTGCTTGGCAACTACTCTGACAGAAAACAGATAAAAATAAGGGTGGTTTATCAGTTTTGCTGTTCTTATCATGTTTCAAGTTGAAGGCTGTTGAAATGATGAAAAACAAACAGCACTAAATAGGGTTCTGTCATTATCACTGCAACGGGGAGCTGAGTTTTTCAGGATCAAAGAAAAATGCATTTGCTTTTAGAACTACAATCCTTCATTTTGAGAGGTGCACTGCACTCAGATACCTGATGGGTGAAAAAAAAAGTAAATTGGAGAAGGAAACAAAATAAATAAATGCTGCTCTGGGAACTTAGAAATTCAAACAAAAGTAGGCTGGCACACTTTTAAAAGCTCTGAATTTTCAACATTCAGTTTCTTAAGAAAAAAAAATAGTGCCTGAGGTTTGTTATTTCTGAGCAACTGGAGTGAAGCAGAAGCAGGTTGTTTGCATCTCATAAAATTATAAGGACTCCTTTATCATTGTAAACATGTATCACAGGAATTTTCCCATGCTAGGGGGTTTGGGGAATGTTTCCATATGCGTTATTGATCAGGGAGAAGGCTTAATATCTTTAAACTTTTTTTTTTTTTATTTTTATCACTGGAGTTGAGCACCTTCAGTTTCCCTGGCGTGGAAATTGCCAAACAAACAGAGACAACAAAGCTGTTGTCTATTCCCTGGAGGACAGTATCAACTGGCATAAGGATAATAACCAGAGACCAAAACAAAAGTAAGGCAGGTTCTGAAAAAAAAAAAAGTTATACATTGTCAAGAATCCAGGGAGGAATAAATCAAAAGGAAATGTTGACCTAGGATGCAGCGGTTGAGGTGAATCTTGAAGGAAGGTACATGTCTGCAGGTGAGGAGGAGGTAGAAGGTCCAGCGTAGCAAACGTCCAGAGGTGGGAAAGCATAAAACATGTTTAATTTGACTAGTGCTGAGGGACAGTCAAGTATCTTACAATAAAAATATTACCTGAGGGCCCTGCTGTTTTAATATTGAGACTAGTGCCGAAGGCAAATCTAGATGACATTTTTGAACCTCCAAGTTTGTTAGAGAAACAACCGTCAATTACTAGGGGCAAAAATTACTATTAAAAGACCAGAAACCAAATG